ACGTGTTCATACTCATATGGTTCCATTTTTAGGGCTACAATGGCCATGAAAAACGATGTAGCTCTTGTTTCTGTAGGACTTGAGGTTTACACGGCGGTGAGTCTGAAGATGGCTGTCTTCTGGGTTGTAGTGCCGTGTAGTCTAGTAGAAGCTTACCGACGTTTCAGAGGTCCTTCCTATCTCCATCATCAGGGCGATCACCCTGATGAAGGGGGCAGCATGGACTTCTTCCATACTACAAGGCGCAACAACTCAGAAGACAGGCATCTTCAACTGTTGTAAAATTTATTGTTGAATGCAGTGATGCTATGATTATAATATCCAAGCATTCATATTTGGAATTGAATATCGCCTTAGTGAAAAGTTTGTTGATTATGAAACAGAAAGTTTTATTGTTTAAATACTGACGTATTTTTATAATAATAAATACAATATATATTCAGATATATACGAGCCAGTTGTGACAGGGCTAAATTCTAAATTAAATTTATGCCGTCATTTATCAAAACATAATGATTCTATGTGATCAATTATTCACGGTAACTGATGTTTATTTAGTGATTGTGAATTTCCTATCAGATGTTGCTATCCTTTTATTTTTTATTTCAATTCAATTTGCATATTGTCTTGACGTGTTTAAAATCGAACATTTTTAACAGGAGAAAAACCAATAATTTTGGAACTTGACATAACTGAACTTCTTCAAAACTACGTGGTCAGTGCTTTTGCTCTTTATCATTAGGCATTCAGCGAGTGATACCGCTGAAATTAGTTATTTTTTCCACACATACCTATTATTTAAAACTTAAAAAACACATGGCACCTTGAAGTTTGTTAACATTGCTTTACTGAGTTGGTAAAATATTTGTTTCTCAGAAACTGTAACGCCAGCCCATGCTATCTCTAACATGAAAGAAATCAGATCAAAGTAAACAGAAACTTAGTTAAACTGTTTTGTTTTTACGAAAAACAAATACAGTCACAGGCCTGTTCTTATTTCAACTATGCTTACCAGTTTATTATCTGCACATTAGATTCGATTGAAAATAAAAATCAATTTTAACGTTGACTTTTATTTTTGTTGCAAGATATTCCAAATGTGTAAGCTGAGAAACCATAGCATCTTTCCCTGTCTTTAATGAAACACACGAATTAACATTGAAATCTGCAATAGGGACTCTCAGGCGAGGCAGTGATTTAGACAGTTGTATGCTATCCAGGCCCCTACTGTTCTTGCTGACAATTATTTTAAGCATTAGAGCCACACATAACCTTGGGATCGGATTAGGCAACACAGAAAGCACCATCTTCAGTGTACACAAAGCTCCGTCTATACTCATTGATCTCCTGACTTCTTCTAAAATCTAATAAAGCTCTTCTCACTACCTTATAAATAACAGGCCACAGTGAAATAATAAGAACAAACCCGGCTACATTGAAGCCACTTCCCCCCCGGCAGCTAACATTATCGTGAGCATTCCCGTCTTTTCTTAAGAGTAAGTGATATACACACTAACACTACAAAGATTGTCCTGAGCGAGAGAGGATAAGTACAGTCTGTTTCAGCGTAAAATGAAAGCCATAATCCTACATCAAAGTGTTTCACGTTGCTTTCTTTCGTTTAGACACAGGGACTAACTTGTTTTGGGTTTGGGATGAATAGAATGCTTCCGTTTGAAGGAGAACAGCATTTGTTATAAGCAAAGGCATTTTATATGAACAGTAGTTCTTAGGGAGACTGAATGTTGTTGGGTGTTGATTATTAATTACTTGCAGTTGATTAGGTGTTTAGACGTCTTGATCTAGGCTATTGTTTCAGAGTCTATGCTGGCGATCAAAAAAAATTCTTATGGAATCTCTACCAACAAAATAAAATTAACATTTTTCTCCATCTATGCCAACTAAAGCCGACTTTCATTATATTTCTATGCCTATGACAAAGAACAGTGTGTTATAAGGTCTTATTAAATTCTGCCTATGTGCTCAGTTTCTAACGACTGGATTTATGAACTGTGGAATGTTTAAGCATTAAATAAAACGCTTAGTTTCAGTGTATTCATTTAGTTCTTATATGAGGATAAGCAGGCTTTATCCTTTTTAAGACATACGAGACTTTGTAAGAGTGTTATAAAGCAGAATGGAAATAAAAGCACTCAAAACATGGTATTTTCTTTTTTCTTTTTGCTCTTAAATAAGATATAGTTTTCTTACTGCATGAACCTTCATGCCACTCTCTTTGTCGTAAATATTTCAGTATATTTATTGGTCTATATACCATAGTTTATTCTTTTAACGATTTAATAAAATAAGTTTTTTGACACATCCTCATTATATTTTGACAGTTTTTGATTTATGGTCTTCGAGAAGCTGGAATGCATGAATATTGTCCCATTTACACAGATTTACTGTTTTAGCTTGTTTATTTTAGGATGTAGTTTATGAAAATATTGGAGGTAATGTTTACTGTTGCTTTGGGCTAGTAATGATAAGAATTTCTAGATGCGTTCGTATGTAAAAGAGAAGTCTTGTCTTTGTTCGAATTAAATTCATTCTTCAGCAACACACGGAACATCAATGTGAGGCTGTGGGTCTGGATGCAATACAAGCACGAATCTTAAACACGCAGGAGCGCCATGAAATGGAATGTCTCAGTTAAACCTAGTCTATCGGAAAGCAGCACTGACTGTGATTGTAAAATTTGACATCGTCTAAATGATTCATTACAACCTACTTGTACAAGGGGAGAATTGGATTTTCATAAAGCATTAGTATTTAATTCACGTTGTTTCAGTACAAATATCAGACGTCTATTGCAGATTGCATACCATACGAACTGTTCATAAACTAACAAACCATGATGAAAATACGAAGAAATAATTACTTGAGGCCGAAAATACACGCTATTTAATATCTCAGTTTATAACGATTTCATTGCAAGATCCAAAGACCTGATACGTGTTAATGCGGCATTGAATTTTGTCGAAGTTTGGTATCTGTGAGAATGAGTTTCTTTTTTAATTTAAATTGTTCATAATGATTTTTTTTGTATGACATTTGAGGTTTTCGTGGCGTCGGGGTTATGGCGTTATGTATTGTGATAAAGTGTAGTCTTGTAGACTCTTACCGACGTTTCTGAGCTACCTGCTACTTCCATGTTCAGAAGTGAGGTCCCACTGCTCTAAACATATATAGTGGTCTAGGACTCGAGGTCCCACTGCTCTAAACATATATAGACTGGTCTAGGACTCTTGTCACCTGTGATTGGTCAATCGTATTGCTCAATTGTTTCTGATCTTTCCACCCTGTCTAATTATCTATTGTATATCCCAGGCCTATTCACTTCTACTGATAAGACGGAAGCATTTTCGTCTGAAACATTAATTACGACTACAAGGCCATAACCAGAGGACAGAATCCTGATTATTTCGGAAACACACTATCACCTCTTACTTATTCTTTCGCCTTTAACAGATGCTTGTAGAATACAAGACATATGACGTGCACACTATCACCTCTTACTTATTCTTTCCCCTTTAACAGATGCTTGTGGAATATAAGACATATGACGTATGATAAGCGAGTTTGGTCCTGATGGATGCTGACATTTTCTTCATTGTTGGTTAAATCGATCTGGGCGAATCCTGAAAAAGCTCAGAGCAAACTACAGAGCCCATTGTTTCGATATTTCTAGTTAAAAAGTTCGGTACTCAGGCCAGGGGTGTCAACATTTTAGGCAGGCGGGACACATTGAAAGACATAGTGTTTTCCGAGGGCCGGAATGTTTAAATATCTCTACCATAACCAACACAAAACTGAACACTACAATAAAATAACCTAATTTACCTTGGGCCTGCCTTTGCTCCGCAGGAGAATTAACATCTGGTTGCGATTTTGAAATGCCAATTTGCGTTACTTCATGAGTGGACATCGTCGATACACATATACAGGTACAAAAACATTATCCACTTCTACGTTCAGAGTTTACTTAGCGCTGGTTTTTGATGAAGAAATTATATTTGTAAGGCGTTTATGTTTAATTTGGCCAGGCTTTATTTAACTACAGACAGTTCAAAGAAACTAACATAAAAGCATCCTCGTGCTATACTTTGAACTCTACACACCAGAGAACAGAATACGTTACACTTTCTGAAGAATTATATTTATGTCTAACAAGGAACTCGCGATTCTGACCAACCCAAACTAAAGTAATTTCATTGTCATCAACAGTGCACGTTGGAAGAATCTTGACATCTAGTAGTCAGTATGAAACTTCAGGCTGACTGATACTTGAAAAATACAGTTAATATTTCGAAACAATGTAGACCTCATACTTTACTGGCACAAATTTTCAAGATTAGTGACAGCTCAAGGCGCTGTAGTAATATTGGACAATTTATAAGCGAATTCTTATTCCCAAAACTTGGTGGCACTTGTAAAATTACTAATAAAGCAGACTGTTTCAAAAATATGAAACACACAAGGTTAATATTCCGTATTATAATAGGTATACAACATTTTGGGACACCTGCTTTTATCGATTATTATGAGCAGATGCACACTCACATGAGGTAACTGACCACTGTCTTACTAAAACATTGAGGGGTCTTAGCCATTATTTCTAGTAACTGCTGTTGTCATCACAGTTCTGCCAAATAATTCTAATAAAAACAAATTGTTTGAAACCACAAAAATTAAAGAATTACCGTAACACCAAATTTCAAGGCCTGTGGTGTTCGCCCCGATTTGCCGTACCTTAGGAACGAACCTAGTTGTAAGGTACTGACACGTCAAAGGGGTCACAAGAAGAGGTACAATGAGCCGTCTGTTGACCACCCCTGACCTAAGCCTACGTTAGAATGCTGAGTGAGAAATATTGGTTCATACAGGAAAATTGAACGTCAACCAACAAATTCAGGCGAAATGTAATTATGCTTAAGTTATATGTAGCAGAGTAAAAATTTCACGTAATTAAAAGTGTTATTGTAAATGCAATGACAGTGTTATATTATGAGATTTTATTAGGATTTTAAATTAAGGGAGGTGATAGGGAGTTGTTACTTTAAACAATTTACAAAAGTATTTACGTTCCACGATTACGTTGCCTTAAGCATCTGATTAATTAAATCCGTTTTACAAATTTCATCGGCATCTCTCATTTAGACAAGTATAGCATATTAGGTTTCTGTGTGCATCATATTGACTCTACCAACGCTATTGTTTATCATCTACTGCAGTATGAAGGGATTTTACACCTCTTCCATCCTAAGTATGTTGCCTGTTTCCTAAGGTAATAAAGTTCGTCGTAGGAAAGACCAAATACTTTAAGAAAGCCTATAATTGTCGTAAGCCTAATTGCTATATTGCCAGCTTTAGTGTACCGCAAGACGTGTCATGTAATTTATGGACAACTTGAGGTATATTAAAAACGCATTTTTTCGGCCTATGAATGTAAGAAGTGAGCGATTAACCGTTGGGTGTACAGTAGCAAAGAGGGATTTGTTTCATTTAGAAGTTAATAGGCCTATTGTAACAATGTTTTCTTCTTATTTAAGACTAAATATTTGATATTCTTTAGATTTAATGTGGGTATGTTCAAATAGACTCTATTGTTATGAGAAGTAGGATTGTCTCTTTGAGAGGACGATTTAGTAGGCCGTGAGTGAAGACCATCTTGTAAGATTCTCTCATAGTATCCTGGAACTTGTATTGAATTAAAACAAAGTATTTTAGTAGATCAACAAGAAAAAATCTCGTCATTAAATATACGAGAAGAAAAACATTTTGCTTTAGGATAAGCTTTGGAATAATATGAAACGCTTTTGAGTCCAGAGAAGAAAATATCGTTAAGGCTGGTGAAAGAAACAATAAAGAAAAAAGTATTTTAAATTATCTAGTCGCCTATAGACGAACTGATAGTCATATCTGAACATTACATTAGTAAGACATTTTGAGAGACATTAACTGACTTCATGGAGCAGAGTAATTTTTTGAGAAGCTAATAGTACGCTCAGCTAGTCAAGAAATTCCTCGTATTTTATGAAACTCGAAGGTTCATAAACGTGTTCACAAGAGCCCAAAATCGGTCCCTATCCTGAGCTAGATGAATCTAATCCAAACCCAAACCCTGTTCTCTAAGAACCAGTTTAATATTATCTTATCAGAGATACAGGCTGTATCTTCCGACCGGTGCAACATTTTAGGCTTTAGGAATATTTCACCTAAGAAAATTTTATTCCTACGGCACATATTATTCCATTAAATAATAAATGAAATTATCTGGGAATACTTTACTACGCCTTAATTGTATTTTAAACAAAGCAATTCCAGGATACTAAGATTTTAGTACTTCTTAGTTATAGTTATCGATTTCTTACATTTCGTTTCACAGTGGCGCTGTTAAATGCACCCACGGCCTTATTTTAAAAGTACATACAGTTTAAATATTAGTTTCTCCCTGATTGTGCCCAAACTTGAAGGGTCCATATGATCCATCATGGCTTCCCGTGTCCACAATGCTGAATTTCCTCTGTTTCACACCATATTGTTTTGATTTATAAAGTCACAACCACATCTCCATTTGATTTTTATTCTTGTGTCATGTTCGCACGTGTTACCATATTATTGTCATTTTAAGTAAACAAAGATGTGTTTAAATAAAGGTAATTTTTTCATGTATGAATCACGAGGATAATCACTGCTACACAGAATTAACTACATGTAATTCCGCCACACGCAACTTCACAACCATTATTGACTGTAGGTTTATTGCTAGTCTCGAATCCAGATATTACGCAGCAAAGATGGACTTGATAGTTCAAGGACACGGCGCTGGGAGGTTTTATGTAATTCACAACCATTTTTGGAGTGTTAGCAGTCATTCTTTCACTCCAAAGTTAATCACGAATTGGATCACAACAGCTTTAGTTTTAGGCAGAATAACGGATATGCACAAAGGCGGCCGTTTGGAAGGTGTTTGAGTAGGCCATGGCTTGTACATAGAGGAGGCTTAGCCTCACGACTGCTCGTCTTCATCGAGGCTAAGGCACTCCTTCAAGTAGTCCTCCATGGAGCGGTAGACGTGTTCGAGCACGCCCACCAATAGGTGGCCTTCGTCTGCATAACTCTGCAACAGATCAGGGCATTCTTATTTTACTGCGACTTATCAAATTCTCTGTTATGGCAGAGAAATCAAGAAGATTCAGTTTGGCTGGACTGTGGTGGGAATGGAAGACAAGAAATGCATACAGAAATTTGGCAGGGAGACTCTTTGAAATATTGAAGCTTTTACATCAGAATTTCGTACGGGCATTGTTTTTATAAACTATTGACACTAAGGTGGGGTAGCTTCTTATAGCAATCTACTCATACCTGTTTTTATGAATCGCTCCAAAATTTATTGCGTGGGAATTGTAAGGCATACACATGTACATTGGGGCAAGGATGTCTACCCCCCCCCCCCCCCCCAAATACAGGTGTAACACGAACTGTAGGAGAGGACGGGGAATTGGCGGTCAGTGGGTAATGCCAGTCAAGCACTTTTCTGACGAACGGTGTCAGATAGATGCTTCAAACTGGTGATTGATTCAGTGAAGTGCAACAGCGAATTCCGCCATTTGCTTCAGGTGCAGTTACCGAGATAGTTGCATGTGTCTGTTTTGTGCTCCAGATCTAATACTTTACATTGAAATATCTGAGGTGAGTGAACTTTCTTTAAATTATATGAATTTTTCTTGTGGGTGCACATAACATGCGAGAGTTGGATATTATAACTGCGTAGATGATTATTAATAAATATGTGCTAGTTCACGGCAACACACCTTTCGTTTGAGGTTACGCGAGTGGGGTAATGGCGGTCAAGGATCTCCATTACCTACGGTGGGTCCACGGACACCTTGCAGAAAAAGGAGAGGCAAGCAGCATTCGGAGATTCTGAAAGGGACACTCATGAAGGGTTCTTCAGAAAGCAAGGCATTAAAGAGAAATGCAAGAGCACAGAATAGAAGTAGTCTAACAGCAATACGTCCAAAGAAAATGCAGAATGAGGAAACAAGCCTCCAAGAGAGAAAGAAACGCTGCAGGAAGAATCAAAAGAAACAGCTGGACTTGACTTCATCAGAAGAGGACGCCGACATAAACGATCAAAATATTCTTGACGAAAATGAAGAGCATGACAGAAACAAATTGTGAAATATGTTTCATTTGTGAAGAATTTGGGTAAGACGGAGAACTCTGGTATAGATGTACAGGCTGTGGTATCTGGGCACATGCAGAATGAAGTGGCTGGGAATTTCCGGATAGTTATCTTTGTGATCTGTGTTTGAGAAAAAGAAATACAAAATGAAAAAGGTTATTGAAGACTTCCATCTTAATATTCCGTTAGAATTTGTACGTTCAAATGATTTTGGTGTGTACACATTTTGTAAACTAAGATATATGCCTATTATTTAATAAGAAAACACATTTTATTCACTCATTACCTTATTTATTCCAGTGACATCTTGAAGCTCAAATAGTGACCGGCATTACCCCAAAGGGCGGGGAATACCGGTCAAAGCTTACGTCTTCAGTTATCATTTCCTACAGAATTTTAGTTACGTTCAACTTAAGAAGCAGACCCTTCAGGCTAAATACCAGTTTATATAAAGTTTCAACTTTGCGTATACTTTTCGTTTTATCTAGCTTTTCTCTTAAGTGACCGCCATTTACCCATTCTCCCTTATACTACAATTTTACTGTAATGCTACTCATGAACCGAAAGACAGGGGAATAAAAGATAAAAGCATTTCAGTTGGTTATATGATCAAGTTTGTAATTTGTACTTGAATTTACAACTGATACGCCGCACTCACAATTGTTAAAATGACGTCGTAAGTGCTATAACTGAGATAATATACCTTAAATGTTGTGGGAATTTCTCTTGTCTCTTTTGGAAGAACAGGGTCCTGATGACATACAAGAAAGTATCAAACTTGGTCACCTCGTTCGCCTGACTTTACTCCTCTTGATTCTTTTTCTTTTGGCGGTACATCAGGGATGCTGTTTACGTTCCACCATTTTAACTACTTTGAACTTTCCAGGAGGATAAGAGATGCAGTGGATACAGCTGCCCTTGACTTGCTTAAAAACGTGTAGATTGAAAATGAATACAGATGATATCTGCCGGGCCACTCACGATAGCGTCATTAAACCCTGAACCTCGAAGTCGAAGCGGCAGTGGCGAAACTCACCTGATAGCGGAAGATAATCCCAGCTTTAGCTAGCGCTCGCGCGAGAGCAACACCATGTTGATAAGGCGCAGTTATGTCTGCTAGGCCATGCAGCAGGTACATGGAGTGGTTTGGCACGTTAGGAGCTCTCTGCGTCGCGTCCGCTTCCACATACCCTTTATAGTTCTCCTCTGGTACTCCTAGGATGCGCTCCGTAAACGCTGAGTCTGCGCACAAAATAGTAGTTTCAAGTGGCATATTTTCTGTGAAACTACTCGTAGTTTGAAGTGTTATTTACGTTGTTTTATCAACTTCAAAATTAAACGAGATGAAACAATAATAATGTACGATTAATTACGAAGGATTGAAGAAATTACATATTTATTGAGTTGTTGAAGGACATATAATTCACTTCACACAATATTTAGTATCGAAATAAACAAGCGGAAGATATGAAATATGAAGGGATCAGGAAGTGATATCAATGTTCTCCTTCTATCTGCTAATATTATAATTAATAATAATTAATTATAAATTTTTTAAAACATTGCATGACTTTCATATTAGTCCTGATGTCAAGAACCGTTCTTCACGTGTCCCAGTAGACTCCAATAAGAACATTGAAGCTTGATGTAAAAGGAGTTAATAAATTTGTTTTCATTTGTCCAAACTTCAGCAACATAATTACAGTTTTGTGCTAAGAGGTATGGATTATATTTCATTCTTCTGTGGCTGTTTTACTCTTAATATGGTCCGCCCTATAATTATCGATAAATGATATGGTTAAAAAAGAAAGCATTTGGAAAGTTTGTATTCTCCAGAGGAGAGTAGACGTTTCACAGTCTGATTGATTATGAAATATTTGATTCTGAACGCGAGGTTTTAAACCGTAATTGAAATTTACTGCTGTTACAAGTGTTTTCGAATCTGTTTGAATTAGCCAATAATATGTTGACGTGAATATAAAACTCCGTAAAATTTCTCATCCGGAAACCGGGATCGACCCAGAAGTTGCGGAGCCACGGCTTCCGTTGACGTGACAGAAGGTCGCGAGTGAAAACTCGTCTGGAAAAGAAACAAATAGCAGAATTGTTATCTGCTTGCTGTGTCCCCAAAGAACCGAGTTTGCTGTGCTTATAGGCCTAAACATTTGACCTATAAGAAGGAAGTGTGTCAAATTTACCCACATACTGTCTCACGACCGTGGATAGACATAAATGTAAATACACTTATAAAACATCCCCAGTGTCTTCTTGGCTTGTACAACGTTTTGTTTATGGCGCAGGCTTGCTTTTACTCGTTTAATGACATTTATCAAGAGAATGTAGAGTAGTAACACATAATAAACATTTCAACGTAATCTATTTTATATTTTATGCTCTTGTATTTTGCTATGAGGTTATACAAAGGATTGTGCTGGATTTTTAGTCGATCTCTTGTTAAATGAGACTAAATATGGCTGGGTAAAATTATGCACCTGTGTTATTGAAATTTCGCGCCGTTTCCTTGGTTATGTTGATACCAAACTCCAGTAAAAAGATGGCGTGTAGAGAAAGCGAGGCTTCGAGATCTGTGTGCAAAAGTGTTTTATTGTGTTTCTTTTATGGTTTTACAGTCACAGTTTATGAGCATTAGAAGCCAATTTACTGAAACATATCCTTTGAAGATTTCGAACGTAAGTAAAGCCATAGCCATGTCCGGAGAATTTGTTTATAAACTGTGTAGTGTAGGCCGTTATTTAAACTTAAGTTCTCAACAGGACTGGACATAATAAATTCCATTTACATGGATCGTGCCCAATCCTACAATACTAGCAACGGACAGACAGAGCATTTACTCTTAGGTTCTTCCTACATTGTGTGTATGTGTGCATGCATTTATGTATGTATCCTTTTAAAAATGTCATTGACGTGTTTCGACATCCAATCGCCATTCTTGTGTCCATCGACTGGCCTTTTTCCAGTCTTCTCATTGCCATTGGATCATGGATGCCCCTCATCTATCTAACTTTCGGTCATTCTGTCTCCCTCCTTCCCGGTGGCATCTACTTATTATTTTTAGTGTTCTGTCTGACGACAGGTCCATATGAACAGGATCCTTCCATCCTTTTCTCGGACTGGGACCTGTTCATATACGTTCTTGGCAGATGATCCAGAAGTGGTTTGCCATTGCCTTCTTCTGTGTGTGAATGGAGTAATTGTTGGGATGCCACGGAGAAACCGGGGAAGCCCCCGGAGGAAAACTCCGTGTTGCCTAGACCACGGCCTTGCCCAACACAAGATATAAATTCGGGCACCGCCGGGAATCGAACCCAAGACCCCAGGATTACAAGGCCAGCGTTCTGACCGCTAGACCACTGTGGCCTTGGCATCTACTACAGTACTTTTTCTGGGCCATCTGTTGTCTGTTATTCTTTGGAGGTATCTATACCGTATTAATTGTTTTATATGACCCAAAGGAGAAATTTTCAAACCTATGATTTCTGTTATTAGTCCAACATGAGATCGTTTTTTCTGTATATTCTTGACCATCGTCATCAAAGACCCATTGCCACCGTTTTATATAGTATAATGTGGGTAAAAGCATCTAAGAAGAGTTTCAAAGCGCCGTCAGACATCAAATTGCCTAAGCAGTGATAAAAAGTAAGTATGATCTCAATATCCAGCGACCCCGTGTATAAGAAAGCAAACGAAAAGCAGCGTCAATGCTACTCTCAGTATGTGTTACAGTTCACGTACTTAATCGCCGGCTTACCACTTTGGAGACCTGGGTTTACTCCTAAGGCAGTCCATTATGGGAATTGTGATACACGAAGAGGTACTGAGGCAGGCTCATTTCCGAGGACTTCGGTTTTCCGTTGTCAGTATCATTCCACCGCTGCTCCATATTCACTTTATATCATCTAGGCGATGGACAGTGGGCCGCAGTTACACGGACATTCTCACCCCGTCGTAACCATAAAAAAGAATACTCAGTGTGACTACAGAATGCACTTACTGTAATACAGCCAGTCGACTATTGGAGACACTGCAATGCCGCATTTGAAGATATTTTGTTGGGAGCCGAGCAGCATGGCCGTGACGTAACCGCCATACCCCCAGCCCCACACCCCGATCCGCGTCTCATCTAGGAACTTCATTGTGTCCAACAGATATCTGCAAGATAAGTTAATACACTTTCCCATAGTTTTCATAAATAAAGGTAAAGAAAATATTATAATAGCCCAAGCGATAAAGAATACTTTATCTGATGGAATTACATAGTCTTTCCTTTCCGTGTACCTAAAAAAGGAGACATAACAAGCTTTTAAAACATTTTATGTGTTATATTTTCGTCCAGCCAACGAACTTCCAAGTAAATACCTCCCATAACGATACTGGATCATTCTCTCTAACCCTACGAGCTATAGCAACTAAATTTGTATTAATTGTCTGGAGGATTCCCCCTTGACTTTGTGCTAGTGTGCGGGCGGCACCGTGGTAGTTCAGGAACTGACCTGAGGACAGTGATCTGGTCTTGCACCTCGACGCCTCCCAGGTGCCGGTACAGTGATCGGGAACCCTGCCCTTTGGCGCCTCGAACGTCAAGCTTAACGTAAACGACGTCGTTATGGCTGGACATGTAGGTGCCCCAGTCGACGGAGAACTTCTCACTGACTGCTTGGCTGCCGGGCCGACCGTTCCTGTGACAAGTGACGTGCAGAAAAATGGCGATTGTGAATCGGAACACGTCAATAACCTTAATAAATCGATACATACATAAATCTATGCATACATAGTATAGGAACCACAGTCATTTCAGTATTAAATAGAACGATATTTTATGAAAAACGAACAACTTCGAGCCTAAAGTTTTTAAACACATTTGCCGCTGATGTGAATTTATTTAAGTTCCATATATGACACATGGATAATTAAAAAGTGATTAGTCTTTACGTAATTCATGTGCAGTTCCGGTATATGTGTCTCCTGAAGTAGGTTTAACGACTCTACTTTAGCATTTTACGTTTTGGCTGCTACTCATACTATATTCTATTACCATTTATAAAATGTGCTATTTAAGTATTAATAAATATTAATTATTTTTATGTTTTGAATGGATAAACTTTAGTTATCATCTAAAATTTACTTCACTCTTTAAAGCCTAGTGGTAACTACATGTACTACCTGCTTTAACAAAATCTATTTATCAATTTCATATGATTCTCAGAGTAAACAGCAATTATTTATTACTTTAAACAGCATTAACACTTTGATCCTAGTAATGGTTACATATGAGTTGTGTTTCCTTCGAGGTAAGGACTGAATGTTTAAATTATATTAAGACGAGATTTATCAGCAGGCTAATTAGCACAATAGGTTACTATTTAAACACGTAAACCGTTAGTTCATCAACAGTAACAATAATGGAATGCTATACACTTTGTCACGAAACACACGGAATGAGGCAATTCTTCGCTGTCTCATTATGTTGAAATACATTTACGGGACACACAAATGTCTGTATTATACCATTGAATAATTAAATCTTAAATATAAGAAATACGTAAACTAACTCCGAAACGCATTTAAAGAGGCACTCACACTTCTACGAGCACCGGGAAGGCAGCGTCTCGTAGCTCCTCCCTCCAGCTGGGCGGCAGTAGCAGCTGGACCTGAGCCCTGAAGCCCTGCGACAAAGGCACTTCAAAGCTTCGCATCTTGGGAAGGGCTAGCTCCCGGAGCGGTAGCGCGCGGTGAGATCGCGTGTTGTACAAGATCCTCAGCAGCCTGTGCGTACCGGCGGAATGAACCCCGGCCAGTGGGAGACCGGGTCCCTCGCATTCCAGTACGTAGTACGACATGCTGCCGGACACGTTTCCAGGTGACACTGACGCAGTGAAGTGTGTACAGTTTGTGTACCAGTAACGGCTACTCCATAGCACCTCGCCCAGGTCGCAAGTCACGCACTGAGGCTCCAGACGCCGCGGGTCGTCTGTCGCCGGATCACGAACTACGTACAAGTGACGCTGACCCGGCTTTGATTCTTGCGTGCCCAGGTAGTACCTGTAGCATGTGGGAACGAGGCCTGCAGTTGTATAAAATGGTAACTTAATGCAAGAGACGAAATGCTGTTTGTGGGTCTCGGAATTCATCTTAATTACCTGTTGTTGTTAGGATTAAATTTATTATTTTAAATTTAATATAATAATATGAATTATAAATAAATTACAGACCCAATTAATAAACGATCTGAGTGTTTCATAAATTTATGAATTTAATGCCAATCTCGCATTTACTGTTCCACAATTGAGCCTTTGATAAGCGAGCTATGGTAGTAGATATAACTGTTAAGCCTACATTTAATGTAAATGAATTACTACTATCGGAATTCAGAGTGGTTTAAATAACGATTTTTAAATTTTGAATTTCATTTATTGCTTGATGCGTTGGTAGTCGTGTATACTCAATGCAGTTGTGTTGACTGTGTCCCTAAATACTGTAGCATCAAGATGAATAAGACGACTGTTTGGTTTTAACAATATTGATTAGAATCGATTGGTGTATGCTTTTGTATTCCGGAGATAACCTGCTCGAATTTCGGCTGGTTATGTTTGTACAGACGTCTGCGTCTCTTCAAGAGAATTCTGGAATAATACTTGCTTATACTCTCTGCCAGCGGCGAAGTGTGACTTGTTCCAAAAGTGTTAGCCAAATCAGGAACCGGGGAAACGTGAACGTTTTAGCAACTGAAGACATACATCGTACTTCATCTTCCATGATTAGTCACAAATCACATGGCACACGCATAAAATAAATATTTCAGAAATTTAAATAACTGCGTCAAAAGCTAGGAGCCTCGTAGCTGGTAAGGTTTGACTAGCATCTTCGCTTGAAAGGTCGTGCCTGCGCATACAGACGGGAAACGTAAGCCCGATCGAGGTGGCTAACACGGACTGACTGGAGCTGGTTAACGAAAAGTTTTATGCGATCGAGTCTACTGTATATCATTGTATGGAGTACCACTTAACAATGAACATAATAAGACTTGTCATTTATCGTTTTTTCAAAGTGTTAGTCGGGCTGACACGGTGCTATCTACGATTGAAAAGCGTGTGATCTAACGTGTGGCACATTGCTGTCTCTTACACCAGGTGGTTTGTGGTATCCCAGGACAGGACGCGTGTTACTTCGTAGCTTCCGTGCGTGAGCACTGCAATGCGTTGTTGGCTCGGAGTGACGTGCTTGATGTGTGTGAAGTACTTGTACGTTCCCTCTTTGATGCTCGCAAGTAGCAGGAAACTCTCTCCGTCAGCCGTGTACAAGGGATGTGGCTGTACGTCAAGCCACGTGTCTTCCGACGATCGTTCAGCGTGAGTCTACAACCACAATAATATATCTTAAGACGCTACGGAGTACGGTATTCGGGGCGAATGTGCCCGCTCGAAACCCGTTAAAAGTAAAAGGCGAGCAAGAGAATGAGAAAGGTGGAATGGGTACCAGGTAAAGAAGCATGTATTTTCAGAAAAAAAATTCCCAGCGGCATTACTTTGTAGCTCGCGGTCACATTTCCTGCATTGGCAATATCTTCGGTTTATACCGTATATGCGTTTGTTTTAAATTTTTTCTCAAGCTAGTGACATAGAAAAAACGCATAGATTCGCCCGAATACAGTAGCTAAGTCGCTACCAGGCAACCAGTGTAATTCATAAGTTCGACTTAGGCCTGCAACTTTGTCTGCAAACGAAATAATCCTATTGTAATAATACACATGATTTACTTATGCTACTCCCCTATAAGAAGACGACACCGTTAGAAAGTAGATGAGTTTCTATGTGTTGTTATTTATTAGCTGTCATTGGCTTACAATACTACCTGTAAACTTACATCGCGTGAATCGTTAAAGTCCTCTTATGTTGTCGACTAACTTTCGAATAACTCCAATGGCAGGATTATATAGTTAACTTCTGGCAGGTTTTTAACTATTACATCTGTTTCTGTGTCTTTGTCTAACAACTAAATACGCCTAATTCTGATAACACATGTAATCTGTGGGAATTGTTTGAAAATTATCACGAAAACGAAGTTTCTGTGTTTGTTGTGCGAACTTATGACAGAGTAAATTTATTCTGTTTGTAATATTGGCGAATTTACGTTGCTTTGCGTGGGAAAATTTTTAAATCGTTGTATGAGAAAATTAAGAAATGTTAATTGTCTAAGTGTGTATGTCTTCTTGCTTATGAAGTGGCTGAAAGGTTACGATAAATGATCCTTTAGCACTAATTTCACTGACAAAATTATAACGCAGATATCAATAGAACGTTTGTAGTGCATTCGTTATATGGTACTTAGGCGTAAAGTTTAGTTCAAGTAATAAAATATGGCCACTTTTTAGCCACTGAAGCAGTTACGAAGCTCCGTAATACAAACCAGTAATCTGAAATCGCACCTCGAAGCAAGTCCAGTTCGGTGCTCTGCAGGACGTGATAATACTGACGTTTTGCGCTCTGTTCATCCACACTGCAGAGACGTGGTGGTTGTCGTTTCCGATCCAGCCGGCAGATGTCAGGTAGAAATCCCTGAGAAAGATTTTCTTACCAATATCACAAGACATGAAAACAGATCTTAGTCCGTATTTATACGAACCTTTTGACGAGACTTAAAAAGTCTCAGAGTTTTGCAGAATGAGTTTCAATAAACGTAGAACGGAGAAATGTTTCTCCTTTTTTTACTGTACGACAAACCGAAAGAAAGACTGATACCGATAAACTGTTATTTGAATATTTGTGAAAATTTTCAAATTTGTTCATACTTAAGTAATTTACATTAAATAAAATACTGAATGACTTCTGTGCAACTTTAGTGTAATTTAGTCTGATTCAATTTAAGGTAAGAAATTGCAAAGCCCATTTTATTTGACGCACATTAAATTCTGTCATATGGTACAGGCAGGACTATTCTTATGCGGCAGTTGTTATTTGTAAAGTTTACACAAACGATACAGGGCTACAGCATAATCATAAGATACTGTATAGGGAGTAGAGGGAAATAAAAACATAGTTGCAAGTAGATGGGATTGTAATATTAGGATGGATTTTAAGAATATTGGGTGTGATGGTGTAGACTGAATTGGTCTGTCTCAGGCCAGAATCCAGCGAACATTATAATGAAATTTGAGTTGTATGAAAGACGGAAATTCTGCTTCACGGATTTAGTTTAGTGAGCAAAGTTTCTACATCCTTCTAAAATATCTAAAAATATATATATATGTGGCAGAATTTTATGATAACTACCTTACCAAGAGATCGAAATACCTGTCAAAACATGGCTGATTTGAAAATGTTTGTCGGTATAGGAGTTCCGTATTACACTAAATGTTTCCATAATAATTATTCTATTACATTGTAGACACATCATATAGAATAGTATGAGAGTTAAACTGATTAATACGTATTAAAATAATGAAATTAAAACAAAGGAAGTTTGAAATTATATTCAAAATCAAGTTGAAAATTATCTTGGGAATTGTAGGTTTATTTTTTGGGTTGGTGAATCAGTTAGTGAAAGTAACTAGAAAAAATACTTTAATTTCTAATTGGTAATTACTGGAATGCAGTCAGAAAGAGCTTTGTGTTTGTAATTGATTTAATAACTAATATTTACCACTGTTCAGATATAAACTTTATTAACTTGCTGAACTCATAAATTTCACTACTCTTAATATGAAATAGTATGAGATATATAGTTTCATTTGTGAGTCTTGTGTCTAGATTGAGGATGATATTGAAAACTACCTTATGGAAACAATACGAAGAAGTTAAATGACTTCAACAGATTTCAAGACGGAGTCTAATGTTGTAATTTTGTTGCAATAATGAACTTTCTGATTCTGTTACAACAGACAATCTCTTTATGATTCAGTAAGACTGAGATAATGGAAGAAAGTCCTACACCAGGGGTCGGCAAACTCCGACCCGCGGGCCAAATCCGGCCCACCGCCTCTCTTTGTACGGCCTGCGAGCTAAGAACGGACTTTACATATTTAAATTCTTTGAAATTTTAAATTACGCGCTATAACGAAACGGCCGAGTTGAGTAGTTGAGAGAAAGAATTCTATAAATGTCTTCCAAGCGATGAATACGGTCAGTTAAGATCATATGCTCGGGGATTTATATCTGTATTTGGCAGCACCTACCTGTGTGAAGAGACATTTTCAAAGATGAAATATGTAAAATCTCAATACAGGTCAGCATTAACGGATGAACATTTACAATCAATTTTGATGATAAGGAGTACTGAATTTAAACCTCAGTTTGGTGAAATGTTATCTCATAACAGGCAATTCCATTCTTCTCATTACTAGAGCTGTATTTCAAACAATTGTAGTCTACTTAATATTATTACGTTACATTTTGTTCAATAAATTTGTTAAAACTTGTTTTTTTCTTGTTGCATAAGTAGGCCTACCTATATAAATATCCTCGAGGTTGCCTCTTGGCCCGCAGAGCCTAAAATATTTACTATTTGGCCCTTTAGAAAAAATGTTTGCCGACCCCTGTCCTACACCATTGAGTTATTTTGATTTAGTTTATGGAAAACTCGTCTGTAGCAGAAATTTTGCGGTCTACTTACTGGGTATCGAGAACTTCCGGAGGCTTTACTTCCCACCGCTGTGGCTCAGTGATGTTGGTGACATCTATGATCCACAACTTGACTTTAGGGTTAGTAGTTCCTGGCTGTAGGAGAGAACAAACATGAAAGTAGAAACACTTCGCATGCTTAGTAGGATTTGAGATACTGCTTCCATTGTCCTGATAATGCAGGCAGCAAGGACTTCTGAAACGCCGATCAATTTCTACCAGATTACACGGCGCTACAACCCAGAAGACAGCCAAATGTGTTGTAGTCTTGAAGTCTAGATATGCAAGATTTCAGCATATTATGGTCTAAATTATAAGGAGTAGACCTCTACTGTAAAAGCAATACTAAAATAATAAAGTAAACTTGATTCCAGTAAACTTAACATATAATTATTGATTTATATCTTAATTGCGTCATGTTTGTGTTTTATTGATACAATATTTTATTTTCCGTCTATACACAAACTTAAAATAATGTTGTTTAAAATTACTTAAAATTATAACATTCTCAGTAGATACTG